TTTATACATTTCAGTACCTTCAATCGGCCTAGAACATCTGTCTGTTTTCATGGGACTTCAGCATACAATGTCAACGTTCTTAACCTTCACTATATACTTTAGTATTTTCTGCTGTAAAATGAGTCTTAAATTTTCTTTTTTCACTCGAGGATTCACCTCTGCCATTTCTCAGGATACACACCTTTGATTGGTAACCAGGTGACTGCCATAGAGTAAACCGAAATTTATTGGGTTATTTTTCGGACTTGACCAATCAGCGCGCTCTCTGATAACCAGTCACCTGGAACGCTCCTTGAACAGAGAATCGCTTTGGACAGACATGGTTTCACTAGCAACCTCCTCCCCACACACCGCTCTCTCTTGTTGTGCCTGCGCAATCGAAGTAGATCTATTCCGTACATGATGCACGAATTATTGTATTGCCTGCATGCTCTCACTTGCACAAAAAAAACACCACCTCGCATAGTCTAAAATCCGGGATAATTTATCTGATTCGTGGGCATCCCTGAACAACTATCGATATCAGGGAGACTCGCGGAACTTCCAGGATATTCAAATGACCAAACCCTGCAAATTAATGGGTGGAAGATATGCAAATCTATTCATTTACCTCCTACTACCCAAATTGGAAGCTTGGATGTTTTGGAGTTTTTGCATCTTTTTTAGCTACCACAGGGTGGAGATAATCTGTGTGCATGTGAATGTATATAGACCATCAAAAGTAGCTGAATGATGTTAATAAAGAAAGAAAATACCCACTGGACTGCATGTATAAATGCAGTGGGAGGGCAGACAACCTTTATATCATTAAACCAAATGGAAGAAAGGATTGACGTTAAAGATTGTGGTATGTTTGTGGGGTTTAAAGAGAGCATAATGATATGTTTTCTTCTGCTTTTGTTTGTAGCACATTGTTCATTTCCATGGCTGTGTACCTCATCTTCTACAGCCACTCTCAAACAGCCTGTTTGACACATAATCTGCTCATTTTGAAACAAACCCAGATTACTTTGCAAGTTTTTAACATTTGGGTAGCAACCTTTGTAGATCACCTCCAACATGCCTACCTGTTGTACACACTGAAAGGAAAATTAGCCTGAATTTTAGTGCTTCCTAATTTGAATCTTTAAATATCAGGCACTATGACGTCCCTCTTTCGTCTGTTCTTATTCAGTCTTTCTTTTGCTATGAGCAAAAAGCTGTGGAAGGTCTTCTGTGGTCTTGTGATTATGTCAGCGGGGCTGCCCTCATTCTACTGTACTATTATGTCATTTGTTTTTTAGTTTTCTTTTTAGCAAAAAAAAAAATCTAAATTTTATTTTTATTTTAAGCTCTAGTGGCCTTTATTTTTCAAAGTAGCAGTCAGGAAGTGAGATTAGAGACAGGGGAAGACATACAGGACACCTGCAACAAGAACCAAAGCCTTTGTACAGGGGTTGTACACTTAGCCGCTGAACCACCTCCAAAAACAATCTTTTTAGTTGACAAAACATATCTAATTTGACTGTTTGTAGTTTTTATTTATTTTGTTGGACACAAAATGAGGGCCTATAGTCCATCTTTCATTATCTGTTATTTCTTCACGTACATCGACTTTTACGCAACAATAAGGGTCAAGCTGTTCATATTTAATCCAAAACCAGCTGACTGAGTTGGACAGATAGTCTATTGTATCCTGGAAAAAAGCAGAATGTTCTAATTTTTCCACTATATCTGCTTCCTACCAGAATTCCACACTTTGAACATTGATGTGAATGAGCGCATTGATATTACTGACGTAACAAGAGTCGGGAGCTGCATGCTGACAGCACGCTCTGATGTTTATGGATGAGGTTCTTGGAAGGAACACAAGGGACTGAATGGTGTTGTGGTAGAAGGTCAGCTGAGTGTTTGTTGAATAGACAACCCTGTAAGCTCTTATCATTAGTGTTTATTTCACTAATTACTAAAATGATTGAGTACAGGGAATTCATTATTATATATTTCCAATTATAATTAAAATAGAAACTGTCTACTTTCAAATAAAATACAACAGTTTGTTATTACAGTAGTAGCCATTCAAATGTTCCTCTTTTTCCTTGAAGGGCCCTTGTCTGGTCCCTGGCTGGTCCTTAGCTGGTCCTTGGCTGTTCCTTGAATGGTCCTTGGATGGTCCTTGGCTGGTCCTTGGATGGTCCTTGGCTGGCCCTTAGATAGTCCCTGGCTGGTCCTTGGCTGGTCCTTAGATAGTCCATAGCTAGTCTCTGGCTGGTCCTTGGCTGGTCCTTAGATAGTCCTTAGGTGGTCCTTGGATGGCCCTTGGCTGGTCCTTAGATAGTCCATAGCTAGTCTCTGGCTGGTCCTTGGCTGGCCCCCTAAAATTCCTTTTCAAACATCAATATTTGTACTTAAATATTCTTTCTTTCTTGATTTGAAATTAAGATCTAAAGAGAAGCACCATCTCCTGGTCAGACCCTGTAATTCAGTGAAAGGTTGAAGTCAGAGTAAATAAATAATAAATAAAATAAGTTGGAGGGGATTTCGCTGGGAGTTGGAGGGAAGTGGGCTGCCATTTGGCTGGCGTTTGACTGGGAAGGGCCATTTTGAATGACTGCTACTGTAAATTAAACCTAATGTTAGGGCTGATGCCTTTTGTTTAGTAATTAATACCATTTGTAACTCAAACCCAACACCCTTGTTTGTAAATCATACCTCATCTGATCTGAGTAAAGACATCTTTGCTGTCAAGACTAGTGACCAAATAACATGGACAGGTTAGGGAAACTATCTGCCACAGCCTCAGGTCAAACAAAGAGCAAAGAATAAAAACTTTAAAATCTGTTTTTATTTAATAATGGAATAAAAGCTAGGCAAACCAACTTGAGTCTATGTCAGGGATGTCAGAATGCCCTGCCCTGTTTGGATCCATCTCTACTTTACAAAACCTGAATCAGATAACTAGGTCCTTTGCAGGACCCTAGAAAACATGACTTCAACTGAAAAAGTGATTAAGCCATTTGATTCAGGTGTGTTTGAGCAGGGAGCTAGATGAAATCACAGGGTATTTGCTATTGAGGACTTGGGTT